CTCTCTCTCTCTCTCTCTCTCTCAATTTTTAATTCATTTTTATGAATTAGAAGATCTTTTGCTGTTGAATGGCGAAAAAAAGCAAAATCATCTCATATAGATATGATGCCAATAGCCAATTATAATATACATTTATTGAGATGATGTGAACTTTTGTTTAAACTTTCTCCGAATAAATAACAATAATTAACAAAAAATACATTTTTAATAATATTTTCCAATTAGCCAAAGATTGCACTTCTCGAAAATAAGTATAGAATCGAAATTTTGGAATTCATACATGTTGATGCGTGTGGACCTATGGATGTTGAAACACTGAATAAGAACAGATATGTATTAATAATAACAAATGACTATATCAAATATATCACAATATATTTAATAAAGCACAAGTTTGAGGTTGAAGAGAAAATACGAGATTTTGCAAAAGAAATGAAAATGATAAACGTTGTTTATCTATGGATTAAGAAAATGGCAATAAAATGTATAGATTACTTGATATGAATACATCGAAAATTATAAGTCGAAACGTTAGATTCCTACCGTATAACGATGAATTGCATGAAGACAAAGAAACTTCAAGCGAATAGACAGAAACATTCACACGTCAGTTAACGAATTCACAATATCTGAAGCATTAGAACATAACGAAGAAAAAAATTAGAAAATAAAAAAGTTTTGTATCGCTCTTAAAGAATAACTAAAGATATTCCACTCATCCATTTGATCGAAGAAATCAACCAATAAGATATCATTGAAAATCCTAAGATGATAAAAGAAGCATTAAGTAGAAGAGATCAATATTAAGAGATCAATATTAAATGGAAATTAACTATGATAAAAGAAATAGAATCCATGAAACAATCAAGAATGGGACTTAATACAACCACCAGAATGAATATTCAAGTGCAAAATTAATCAAAACGATCTATTAAATATAATAGCGTTTTCAAAGTTAAATTTTTTAAATAAACATCATCATTTTGTGCATGTGGTGTGCGTGCGGGCGGGCGTGCGTGCGTGCGTGCGTGCGTGCGTGCGTGCGTGCGTGCGTGCGTGCGTGCGTGCGTGCGTGCGTGCGTGCGTGCGTGCATGCGTGCGTGTGTGCGTATGCATATGTACATATACTTGTATTAAATAACTCAAGGTTAAAATGTTGTAAATTATTATATATCACTCTGCGTGTGTGTATATGTTGATAAATTTAATAAGTAGACTTGAATTTGAATATGTGTACTTACGACGATATTTTATAAAATATTGTTGAAATGTAACACATTTAACCACATTTAAACACATATTAATATTACAATATTAATATTACAATAATATAATATTAATGTAATATTATATATATTAATAATACATATTATAATATATTATACGTTTTTTGGTGATACATTACGTTTTTCTTATTTTTATTTCTTTTTCTTTTGTAAAATTATATAATCTAGATCGAACTTAACAGACTTGGTAATGAAATGTCATTATAAAAATGATTGCAAACATCTTGTAAAAATGTTAAAAAATTTGTTATATTTAGATAGATTACATTAAATTAATAAAATATATTAGCTGTTTGATGCGAGTATTTCTCGGATAATACAGATACCCATAGAAATCAATCATGGCTGTGGCAAATAAGATGAACAATATGTCAGATTGTCATGTTATTTTTCCGAACACTAATATAAATCGAATCTCGCAGATTTTTATAGAATTTTTCGTTATCTCAGTTGTATGATTTGATATAGGACATTCTATAGCAAATTTGAGCGAAGGAGAAAAAGCAGTTAAACACGGTGCGTCGTTTATTACTCATCTATTCAACGCCATGTTGCCTGTAAGTTGTAAAATATGTAGATATAATCAATTCATATTTTTTAAAAATATCTTATATGTAGCATTTTTTCAATTATAGTTTCATCATAGAGATCCAGGATTAGTTGGTCTTTTAACATCTGACCAAATCCCATCTGAAAAAACTGTTCATTTTGGCATAATTTCTGATGGGATTCATACTCATCCGGCAGCATTACGAATCGCTCATAGAACGCATCCCAAAGGTATAATTTTATATTATCCATATAATTATATACAGGATATCCATAAATCTTTTGTCTAAAACATTTTATGTTTTATATCTTACGAGATACATCAATATACGAAAGTTAAAATGGAATGGAATATGTATGCAATATGCAAGGTAGACCATTTTATTCAATACACGAATATTGTAAAAAAGAGAAATTTACTTTAAAAAATGTTTAAAAGATAACACAAATTTTGTGACTTCGAAGAGAATATAAGATGGTGCCATTAATTTAATCTTGGGTACAAGGTCATATAGAGGTCAACTTTATTTTTTAGATGGAACCTTCATTTTTAATTATTACCTCCATTTTTATTTAATTATTATTTTTAAGTATTCGGTAAATTTGACAATGGATCCAGTTCCGATCTTTGACCTTGAAATATATTGTCAAGGTCACCATCCCGAATAGCCATTAAAAGGTTTTAGTTGTCGCTCGTTGTTTTTTAGAAAGTTATTAATAAAAAACGATTTGTAAAAATTAAGATTTATATGTAAATATACTTTATACTGTAAATGAAAAATTTAATATTAGATGAAGTTTATATAGATATTCTTACATATACTATACACGCACTTAATATATATATGCTTATATAGGATGTTCTAAAAATAAAATAGCTCTAACCTAACCTAATCTAATCTACTCTAACTCTTTTATCTTTCATGTAAAAATTCATTTGTGTAAACCCATGTAAAACCTTGCTTTGCATTGAAAAGTGTATGCGTGCAAACAATATGCTCTGTCTCCCCCTCTCCTCCTCCTATGGGCGAAAGATCTAATCGAGTGACGTTCCGATTGACCACTAGCCACTCACAGGGCTTGAACAGTGGAAAAATTCTAGGCACCGGTCCCTGTGAGTGATTGTGGTCAACCGGGACATGATCAAATGGGACGCTCCCGATCTAATCTAACCCAATTCATATTACAGTGATAGTTAAATATCATTGTGATACAGTGTGTAATGATATTAAACTATCACTATGATACGGGTCAAGTTAGAACTTTCAGTAGTGAAGTCCCCTATAAGGATGGAGGCGAAATGTACTTTTTCCAGGCATACACTTTTCAATGCGAAATAAAATCCCACATGGATTTACATAATTTTTCATGTAAAAGATAAAAAGATTGAATTAGATTAGATCTTTAGTAGAGCCTCTCGTAGAGAAAGCGAAACACTGTCTGCACGCATATACTGTTCAAATTGAAACGAGGTTCCACATAGGTTTATAATTTTTTAAAGTAAGGTTTAATTCAAATCTATGTGTTTAATATAAGATGAAACGAGTTGGATTAGGATAGGTTTTTTAAGTTAGAATGTAAAGGAAAAGATGAAATCCTTCTCTTGACTGCACATATACAATATCTAAACATATATTAGCGAACTGTTTTTAGCACTAACATAAATTATTATATTTTTCAAATTTCTTTTATTAATAACTTTTTAATGCATAACAAGCGACGGCTAAAACCTTTTAAACATTGTTTAATGTGATGACCCTGACAATATACAGGATAAAAAGTCCCGGACCAATGAAATATTTCGAAAATTAAGCATTTCCGAAAGAAATGTTTCCTACAAAAGTTGTAGGATTTTAAATAATCGATTCACTGATCTTGTTTGATCTTTGATGGCGTCACCAAGATTAGATCAAGGTCACATTTTTTAAATGGCACCCCCTATTTTTAATTCCAGAATCTAATAGCTGGTGTCAAGAACTTTTCAGAACACTGCAATAGTTATTTTTCATAAATTACTTTTTGAGTTATGAGGCTTGAAAGTTACAGCACCACTGGCATTTCTCCGTGCTTAGCATTACCTAAGATGAACAACATGGACGTGGACTTCTTTTGGGATGCTTGATTTATGTGAGTCTTCTTACCTCTCATGGGGTGCTTAATTAATGTGAATCTTCTTGTTTCCAACGATTCCGATGGGAGCGTCCCGTTTAACTACGTTAATATTGACCACAGTCTCAATTGATCACGTTGACCACCGTCCCGATTGGCTATTTTGAAATTGATCATATTCAATTTACTGTTTTAACTTATCAGGTAATGTGTGCTATCGGGAAAAAAACGCGTTTCTTTCTGATAGCGCACATCTTGAATAGCCAACGATTATGTGTGCTATCGGGAAAAAGATCGCGTTTCAACATAGGTTTGCGAGGTCCATCTCATCACCTTCCTGATGTTTAGGGGCGAAACGAGGTCCACGATTATACTATTTCACATAGATTTTTGAATAACTATTTTTAAGTAAAACATTATCTGTTTAAGTAAAACATTATCTGTTACATGAAATGATGAATATAGATGTAGTGATATAGTAGATATAGTGATATAGTTATATAGTACATCTGATATTTTTCTAAAACTAATTCTTCTTTACATATTACCAAGATTTGAGATTAATTATTACTGTACAACATGTAAGATTCGGCAGAGTTAAGAGTAAAATGAATATCGCATACTAGAGTAGACTACACATATTACTTGATATAAAGTAAAAAAATATTAATCGCAGTGACAACAGTATTAAATATGATCAATTTCAAAATAGCCAATTGACGGTGGTCAATCGGGACGGTGGTCAATCGGGACGGTGGTCAATCGGGACGGTGGTCAATCGGGATGATGATCAAACGGGACTGTGGGCAATGAAGATGGTGGTCAATCGAGATAACGGTGGTTAATTGCAACATAGTCAATATTAACGTGATCAATTGTAACATGGCCAATCGCAACGTGATTAATTGGGACTGTGGTCAATATTAATGAGAGGGATTCGATAGCACACAACGCTGATTGGCCAATTAAATATAAAATTTTCTGATTGGTCCATTGGAAAATTCCTAAGCAGCGGCTGATATGTGCTATCGTATTGTGCGTTAACGAGAGCCATCCATATTAACGTGGTCAAATGGGTGCCACTCTTTGGAATACTTGATTTACGTGAGTCTCCTTGGGTGCGTTCCTTTATTCACTCCGAGGGCTCATGCCATGACGTAATGGAAGTGTACTGCAGCTATCGTTCCGTTTTAGTTTCGTGCACTTTCTAATTGCTTCAAGATTATAAAGTGGAACGCAGTTGCAGTATGTTTTCTGAA